ATGAATGAATGAATGAATAAATAAATAAATAAATAAATAAATAATCATATGACAGATCCCAATTGGACTCCATTCTATTCAATTTTTCATAGCTTGGTGGACCAACTTGTCCAGACATCTAGCTGAAGAAGACCTAGGGCACTCTTAGATCTGCCTGAAGATCTACAAGGCAGAGGAGACTTCACTTCATATGGCTCATTGGTCCTATTGTCAATTACTTTACTGACAACATTGTTACCCAAAATGTCCCTTCCAGGAACTTAAGCCTCTTCTATCCAGGTCTCAGCCCCGGGATAGCAGCAAAAGCAAATTTAGATATTCTTCCATGACACTATCGCTCAAGGATTTGAAGGATTATCCTGTCTCACCATTCCTGGGACTGTAGAAATGGAAGAGGGCCTCCAGAACAACATATTCAGGAATGGGTGTCCTATGGTCCTCAGAAATTACTGGACCACAGATCTGAGCAACCCATATCATTAGCCTCATCAGTTGGAACCATCAGGGGCTGAGGCTCATCAACACTCAGAGGGTTGGAGAAGGGGCGATTTGAAGCATTTCCTGCCTATGCCTTCCCAAGAGACAGCTGCCAAGTATCTACTGGATGATTTCTGGTGCAAGAGGGCCCACCACCTCTCTTTTCAATTTATTCCACTATTGAACGATTCTTACCATCCAGACCTTTTTCCTCCCTCATATTCAAAAATGGTTCTCCTACTATTGTAGTCATTCCAACATGAATCACTTTTGTATAGTTGGAGGCAAGGTAATGGACCAGAGAAAACTTGTTTAGATGTGATTCTCTAGCATCATTTGTCAGGCACCAGGCTGGAAAAGGCCTTTTGGTTGTCCTTTTTACAAGAAACCACTGTGCTTCCCCGCTAATTCCCACAATAACTTCTGTAATGGAGCCATGAAGGACGCTTACTCTGTGACCTGGAGGGTGTACGTAGTTGGAGAATCCATCTCGGGTAGAAGATCCCAGTAACATGTGATGTTTTTTCCCCAGAAGCTGACACAGGACTTAATCTTCAGGGTTCTTGGAGTCACTCCTTAAGAAGAAACCAGGGCACAAAAACCAGTTATGCTAGCTGAAAGGGTTTTAAGTATACAATAAATGAAGCAGAGAAGTCATCAGCTGTCAGTCACATTAGAAGAAAGAAGAGATACAGTTGGGGATAGTGATTAAAGGCACCAGGAGACCATGAGTTCAACTCTTGCCTTAGACATGAAGCCAGCTGGATGACTTTGTGCCAGCCCTGGGAAGAAAAAGGCGACAGCAAACCGCTTCCAAAAATGATGCCAAGAAATCTGCAGGGACTTGTGCGAAGGGCAGGGCTTGGATCGCATGGCTGTGACCGGCATCGTGAATTTTTTGACCCCCTCTTTGTGGACACTCCTGCCTGTAGAGAATCCATCTCTCAGCCTTTTAAAGCCTTTTAAACCTCCCGAGGGGGTTTATCTGCCCGCTGTATTAAAAAAAAATGAGACACACCACTGAGGCAGGCCTAATTCAGTAGCTTTCTTATCATGCTTGTATGGGGGGAGTTGTAAAATGCCTTTGTGGGTCCTCTTCAACAAGGAGGACCAGGTGGAGTTGCCATAACATTACCAGCGATCCAGACAACCGCCTCAACATCCAATAGAGCCTCACCAATTTCAGTGGAAGTCCTCTTCACTTCTTTTCACCCCAAGTGAGTTTCAAAAGGGACGTCCCAGACAATGGTTTGGGACTTCCAGTTATCATGATTATCCTCATGATCATCCTCTGCCCAGAGTCACTGGGAGTCAGATGATGTACCAATTAAATAATTAAATAAATCACCATCATGGGTATCCTCAGGGGAGGTCAAAACAGTCAAGATGGTGGTATAGCCACGTGATCAAAGCCTTGCCCATACCTTGTGGGTATGGCCACCATCTTGACTTTTTTGATCCCCTTCCCCCATGGACCCCCTGCAGAAATTCCCCTTCTTTGTGGCCTATTAATGTGACGTAAAAATGGGGAGAGATATGCTGGCTTACTCCACCCTTTTCCCTCCCTGCCAAGCTGGTGGCTTCCTGTCAGGCCCAGCCCAAAAACAACAGGGAAACAGTCCAAGTGAGTTCAGTTCCTTTATTGCATACACTGTATAGACAGAATCTTGCCAGACTACGTCTGTAATACTGCAACTAGTGGATATTCCCTGGGAGACTCTAGGGAGTGGCTATTCTAAATCTCTTAAACTTCCAGTGCTCCTGCTCTGGACTGTGTTGTCCCTTGTTTCTCTGCCCTTCCTGGGAGGCGCCCCCTCTTTCCTGAGAACCTTGCTCTCTTCTGCAATCCACCACACTTTCCTTCTCATACAGGGGGCTCGATGCAAATGTTCTCTGTCCCCTAAACAGCTCAGATGCACAGGATCCAAACGGCCCATGCCATCGCTGGCATTAGAAAAAGCCAAGCCAAGAGAAATTGGAAGTTTGCTGAAACCTGGTGTGAGCCACCCATAGACCTCTACTTGAAGCCTTTTCAGATTGCAATGTAGAAATTCCTTTACAGTATAAAAGGGCAGTTGTTTGCTTTGAAAATGCCCAAATAATGGGTGAGGGTGAACCAGTGGCATCTGCAGCAAATCATGGTGATCTCAGTGGATCTCCACGTGAATGCCATGACTATGTTCAGACTTCCTGATGTCTGACACAAATCAGTTGAGTTGCAGTCTTTGTGTGACGACACCATCACACACGCTTTGTCATTCGCCCCACTCAGCTCTTCTAGTGCACTGTTTCTCAACCTTGGCAACGTTAAGATGTGTGGACTTCAACTCCCAGGATTCCCTAGCCAGCATTTGTGGACTTCAACTCCCAGAATTCCCCAACCAGCATTGCCGAGGTTGAAAAACACTGGGTTAATCCAAAGCAATGTTTCTCAGCCTTGGCAACTTTAAGACGTGTGGACTTCAACTCCCAGAATTTCCTAGCCAGCCATGTTGGCTGGGGAATTCTGGGAGTTGAAGTCCACACGTCTTAAAGTGGCCAGGTTTGAGAAACACTGTGCTCCAAGTAGGAGTAAATGCCAAATTTCGGAAGCTGTAGGAGGAATTCCCCAGCCTCCTTGTATCTGCCATCCAGTTGCCCAAGGCAGACTGCTCCTGCACATGGAGGTTCCTCTCTGCTGTCACTGCAGAAATCTGTAGGAGAAGTTTAGTTGCATTAAACCAAGACGCTCCCTCAACCAGCATCTAGGTCCCCCCCGGTTCTCTTTCTAGCCTCTATCCGACCTGGTGGTCACCCCTTCATCTTGTGGCAGGGATTAAACTAACAATGTGCCATGAACTAACTATGCGTGGTTGCCAAAGGAATTTTGCCCCTTCTCTCTTTTTAGGGACTGGGCTGCTGTGCAGAACCGCTCTTTTCACCAACAAACCGCCTTTGCGTCCTGCAGCACGTGATGCAACAGGGACAGTTTCCTTAACTGACTCAGGGGCTGCAATCACGCAACCGTACAAGAAAAATGAAGGCCTTTCCCTGAATGTTTTATCTAGCAATTTTATTTGGTTTAATGTCAGCTGACTAAAAAACTGGGAGCCGGTTTGGTCGAGGGCAGTGTTTCTCAACCTCGGTCACTTTAAGACAGGCGGACTTCAACTCCCAGAATTCCCCAGC